TCTTGTCCAACATTCCCGTCTCCTCCACCCGTCCCTGCGGGCTCGCGCGCCCTTCACTTGTGGATCCCACACTTACTGTATGCCCTGTGTATTGACAGACATTGATGGAGCCACAGCGGTTTAGCCCGATTGGGTTTCTTTTCCGATAACTTTATCTTGGTGTCAGCTAACTGCACGCGCCGTCTTTGCAGGCCAGGGTTCCTCCGAGCCCGCTCCACGCAGGGAGTGTGGGGGCTCCCCATTCTTTAGTCCTGCTGTGGAAACTTGCAAACCCACGGACACCTAAAAACTTAGCCATCTCCGGAAAGGTTCATTTATCCACAAGAACCCTGTGGCTTTTATCCACAAGAACTGTTACACTGAGTGTAGGTATGAAAGCAGAAATAAGTTACTCAACATCTCAGCTGGTTAATATTAACTTCCTTTCGTGAGTAAACCGAATCACCTGGGATTCATGGCTGAAACTCGGAGGCTGTCAATAAACTAAGGAGCCTTGGTGGCATGGTGGTTATACATTGGGCTGCTAACAGCAAGGTGAGCAGTTCAAAACCACCAGCCAGCCGCTCTTCGGGAGAGACTCGGGCTTTCTCCTCTAGTAAAGAGTTACAGTCTCAGGAAGGCACAGGGACAGCTGACTGTTGATAGGGCCACTGTGAGTCGGCCTGGACTCGATGCCAGTGTGTTTGTTTCCTGTGTGTTTGGTCAGGTAGACTAGAGATCAGCAAGCTTGCTATAAAGGGATAAATGGTTATTATTTTAGGCTCTGCAGGACATAAGCTGTTTGTCAAACCTACTCAACTGGGCTGTAGTTGCTCGAAAGCAACCAGAGACCGTATGTAAACAAATGTGTTCCAATAAAACTTTATTTACAAAAACAGGCAGCAAGTCGAATTTGGCCTCCTGGCCATAGTTTGCCGACCCTCTGAAGTAAATACGCCATTTTCAGGTCTAAGTATTTCTAATTTTCTTCAAAACATCAGGCTGACATAAAAGGAAGCTGTGCTTACAGTTTCCAGATTCGTATAGCATTATGATCATTTCTGTACTTTAACAGATATGATCAAATTATGAATTTAATTTTTTTTAACTTCTTAGGGCTCAGAAGAGTCAGTTTCACATATCTGGACTGTGGTTTCAGACCCAGAAAATTCAGCCCGCTCCCTGCCTGGGTAGAGGAACTTCCTTTTATCTCCTCTCCCTGCAAGGGCTGGCCTGCTTCCCTGTGGCATCCTGTGCACCAGTTGGCCGGCTCTGCTGTACCCAGGGCGGCAGTCTGTGCCCACCTGCTGTATCAATGGGAAGAACGTGGGCCTTCAGTGGCAGCAGAGGTGTGGGACTGTCCACCAGAGATGCTCACGGGTAAGAGCTGTGGGAAATCCGTTTACCTCTCGTACTGCTCTTAGTGCTTCCCTGTGGTTCCCAGTGAAACCACTTTACAAATATAGAGAAACATAATCACCACTCTTTAAAAAAAAAATCTCCAAGATTAAAAACTAACTCCAGTGTCAAACGTATTTGTGTTTTAAATCCACGGTGAGATAAAGTGATCTTTCAGAACTAAAAATCGGACTCTATTTTTCTTCTTTGTTTCCATACGGTTCGCAGAATTCAGTGAAAATTTCTTATTTATGGTATATCCGTGCAGACAAGGTAGATCATATCACAGCAAAAAACAGCCCCTGAATAATCACGGCTCATCACAGCAGAGGGTGAGCTCCTGTCTGTCGACAGCTGGTTAGGGCTCTGCTCAGAATTCCCCCCTCGGGGACCCTGGTTGATGGAGCTGCCATCATCTTGAACGCTGCCAGCCAGGGTGGCCGAGAGAAAGAAATCGTCCTCAGGCGATTAAACTGAGATCTCTCGCGAGCAGTTCTTGTCCAGAAGTGAAGCACACCACGTTTGCTCACAATCCATTGGCCAGAGCTTGTCCTGTGATCACTCAACTAAAAGCGTGTGTGTGTGTGTTTTATGTGATTTCATGTCAACTTGATAAAAGGATGTGGAGTGTAGCCTGTCAATCAAACCACAGCCTGATGATTCCTCCTTGTGGGCTTGGCCTTCTCATGAGGATTCTGGGAACTCTCTCTCTCTGCTACACCTTCCTGTTGACAAGCTGCCCAGAGCCACCTGGATAGCAGCCAGAGCGGTGAAGATGGTCTACTGCCATTGGATCCACAGGACTCTCCACCCACTGGCCTGTGATCTTCCTGCATTCTGCATCATTGCATGTGCTGTGTGTGTCTAGAGGGATTCGTGGGCTACTATCAGATTTATGGGCTAATATCGAACTTATGGACTTGATCTGACCTGGGCTGGGATGCTTTACTGATGCCTAATTACTTCCTGATATAAAGTTCTCTTACATATATATGAGTGTCTCTGAATTTGATTCTCTCGTCTACCCAGTCTAACACTGTGTGTGTGTGTGTGTGTGTGTGTGTGTGTGTATTCCTCTCCTTTGTCCAGAAGGAAATGCTCAGGGAAGAGTACTGAGACCATTACACACAGCATTCCAGGTGCATCCCTCATCTTTTCCCTCATCTCTTCCAGGAACTGTTGATGTGAATGAGATGAGGAATGTGAACTTGAGCCTTTGTGTGTGTTTGTAGAGAATACGATGGCACCTGGCAGGAGAGGGTAACAGTCTGGTTTAAAATATGGAAATTCAAGTGGGGTGAAGAAATTAGATGGTGCCCGGCTATCAGATGAAATAGCATCTGAGGTCTTGTTTCCAAACAAGCAGCCATCGAAGTAAGATGTCAACTGAGTCCATATGGAAGAAGCACACCAACATTAGTGACCAAAGGATTGGAAATCATGTCACTTGAAGCCGAATGAGGATTAGTATCAGCGATGTAACTGTGAAATTCTAGTTTGCAGAAGGCTGTGGATGACCGTGGAAGCCCGAGATACATTTGTGAGATCTACACAGGAAACGAGCCTCCGGTGATGGCCCTCTACATATAATGGGGGGATGGGAAGAAACTGTTACCAACCAGACAGTATTGGAGAGACGACTGTCAGAGATCCAAATCATCAACCTGACTGGACCGATCAGAACCTTGTCACTTGATCCCCACCACTGATACACGTTGAGCCTGATCTGTTTTTCAACATTGTGGGTTTTTGTTTTATTTTTCATATTAGGGCTTATCCCTGATGTATTTTGTTATTTGGGGTAGCCCTCTTGAATTTTTGTTGCATGTTTTTCGATATATGAAACCCAGGATTGATGAACCTATAGGGACAGCAGGCGGAATAAGGGTTCCTGGGGGGAGGGGGTACAGTGGGGGACAGGGGAGCTGATATCAAGGAGTTCAAGAAGGAGTAGAAGGTATTGAAACTGATTGTGAAAGCAATTATGCAATACTGCTTGAGGTGATTGATTGAAGGAATGATAGCTGTATTAGCTCCCAATAAAACCGTTTGGAAAAAGAAAATCCCAGCACTAAAACACAACGGGGCTATTCCTGTATGTAAAATCCCAAACCAGACCCACTGCCATCGAGTCAGTTCTGGCTTGTGGCAACCCTAAAGGCCAGGTGGGCTTCCCAGCCTGCAGCCTCTTGCAGGGGTAGAAAGCATCACCCTTTCCCTCCGAGGGGCTGGTGGTTTTGAACTGCTGGGTCACAGCCCAGTGTGGCACCAGTATGGCACCAGGTCTCCGACCAAGTGCAAAGCTCTGGTAATAGTCTTGGGGGAAATACCAGGGCCCGATCTGGCCCATGTGGTACCTCCCTCTGTGTGTGGGGGGGTGGGGGGCAGGGTATAGACGTGTACCAAGAGGGGCAGGTTGGTGGATGGAGTATGGCCGAAGTCTGGCTCTAGTTGCAGTGTTGTCAGTGTGAGGCCAGTGCTGTGTCAGGTTGGCCGGGCAGCAATTCTCCATGGCTTGCAGGCATTATGTACCCATTCTCCAGTTTGTGATCCAAAGTGAGCAGCCAATCAGTCGGAAGGAGCGTTTGCGTGGAGACGCAGCCTGCACCCAATATGTTACCAGGATGTTCTGGAAACACTTTACACCTTCTGGATCTTGCATGTGTCTCTTCAGGTATGGCCTCTTGCTCTTGGGATGCAAGAAGCTTGTGTCTGATGTGAAGGTTTTAGACTTGCCAGTTGGTACAGCCCTGAGCTCCAGCAGCCTGCCACCGGGCATGCACACGTTGAGTCCCTCAGCCACTGCAGCCACGCGTCAGGAGAAGCCTCCAGCCTGCTGCCTGACCCACACCTGGACTGGAGGTTTCCCAGCCTCTGTGAGTACATGAGCCATTTCTTTGAAAGTCAACGTCTACATATTGATATGTGCACTTCACTGGTTCTGACCTTTTAGAGCACCCAGACTAAGACCACCAGGGGATCAAATGATCTGGTTGAAAGTCCTGCATCTCAGAATACTGTGAGTCCAGGCAAGCAGGAATGGCCAATCACCCTCCCTGTGAGATGGCCCTGGCTACTGATATAGTACTTTCTATGAATCAGAGCCCAGCCTGTCTGTTTTGAGGTGGTCATAGCTAACCAAAAAACAACACCCAAACCCACTGCCACCACGTTGCATCTGACTCCAAGCAGCCCCCACGTGGGGTTTCTGAGGCTGTAAACAAGGGGTCCTCAAACTTTTTAAACAGGGGGCCAGTTCACTGTCCCTCAGACCGTTGGAGGGCCGGACTATAGTTTAAAATAAAAAACTATGAACAAATTCCTATGCACACTGCACATATCTTATTTTCAAGTAAAAAAACAAATGGGGCAAAAACACCCAGGGGGCCAGATAAATGTCCTCAGTGGGCTGCATGTGGTCCGGGGGGTTGTAGTTTGAGAACCCCTGCTGTAAGCCTTCATGGGAGCAGAAAACCTATCTCCCTGCCCTAGAGCAGCTAGGATTTGAACCACTGGCCTTGCTGTTCGCAATCCAAAGCTTACTTGACAGAGCCACCAAGGAGCCAATAAGAAGACAAAGGGGGAGCGGATAGGTGGGTTCAAGTCCCAGTGCGGCTACTTACCAGCTGCAAGCCTGAGGTATTTCCTCTGTTCTTCCGAAGCTCCGCATTGCTGCTCATCAGAGGGAGGGAAATAGTATCTTCCTGACAGGTTGCTGGGAGACTGCTGGCTTCATGAGGGGTCATATGGGGCCTGGCACCCTGACGCCGTCTCTCAGGAAATGCTAGCAACCCCACTGGGGGGTGGTTGGTTGCTGAATGAAGAAAAATTGCATTCCAGGGGCTCAGCGGTCACTCCAGGGAGAAGGGCTTTGTGCAAACAGCGTGTCCACATTAATCAGTAATCCATCCCGTGGAGCAGGCTGGGACTTCAGCTCCACCTAACAAGTGGAAGAGCCACCGATTAAAAAGCCAAGAGACTCTTAATATTTAACCTGAACTCTAACTGGAGGCTCTGGTCTTTAATCTACACCTGAACTCCTTTTCCCGAGCACCTTCTCTCCTTCCCGCTGACCCAGTTCTAGAGCCACCTCCATCCATCACAAAGCCTGACTCCCTGACACCAGGCTGTCGATGGAACGGCAATTTCCGAGGGTCTCCTATCGGCTTTCCAGCTTCCAGAGACGTGCGGCAACCTCTCATGTCGGATTTGTCCTTCCCCCTCCCCCACTCCTTCCCTCATCCAACTTTCTGTTCTGAATTTCCTTTTTCAAAAAGAATTCCAGGTCTCCGTTTCAGTGGGATCTCACGTCATAAGAGACGTGAACCATGTGCGCCATCTACCATTTTGAGCCCCAACATCTTAGCTGTCTCTTTAACCCACAGAGGTTGTCCAAGCAGGTGGGGAGGCTGATACCAGGTTCTGGTTTCTGTCTTTTTTATACACTGGGCTTGTCGCCCCTGTTTCACTGCGTGGAGCAGAAGTTCCGGAACCGATCCTAGCGACATGGTGACCGCACCCCCCATGATCTGCCACGCCAACTTTCAGGACTTAATACTTATAAGCCAATATGCAAAAGAGTTAGCTAAACCTTGTTAACTGTTCTTAATGAGGTCCTAACTCTAATGTTTTTTTTCCTTCTTCCCAGTGGTAAACCATGAAACCAAATGCATAACTCGGACACCCTGCTGGAAGAGCAGTGATGGGGGCCCTGCTGTCCAGCCCCATCAACTCACCCTGCGGGGCAGCTCTCCCCAGCACTGAAAATAGAAATCGGCATGATGTTAGGTTTCAAATATTGTCTCACCACCTGAATGTGAATCTATTTCTCCATGGTCATAATGAGTATGGACGCAATCTGAACTGCTAAAAGGACAGACTGATTTGTCTGGGAAGAAGTAGGCCACAATGTTCCTTCCTTTGGACACGCTGTCCAGGGAGACCAGTCCCTGGAGACAGACATCATGTTTGGGTCAAGCGGAGGGGGCGGCGAAAAAGAGGCAGGCCTAGACAAGACGACTGGCACAGTGGCTGCAACCATGGGCCAGGCACAGGTACAGTTGTGAGGGATGGCGCGGGACCAGGGGGTGGTTTCTGCTGTGCGTAAGGTCGCTACAGGGCATCGCAACCCGCCCGATGGTGCCCAACAACAAGAACAACGAGCTTATCTGATAAAAGCCAGGTCTGCCAAAGTAAACAGAGTTAACTTTCAGACTGGAAAGAGCACTTTGGCATGACTCTTGGTGAAGCAGAGGAAACCAGACAAGTGTGGGGAAACAGGACGGGAGGAACCAGGCGAGGCTGGAACAAATCGGTTGCCGTGGGAGCTGCACACAGAGAGCTGTGGAGAGATGTGACCGACTCCCAGAACGAGGTTCTCCTAAGGTGAAAGTCAACCGCGCATGTCCTTTAAAGGATGACACTGAGTTGAACTTGGTTCCAGAAAAATATTTTTCCTCTCAGATGTTTTTCTTTTTTTCCTTGAGGTGCAATGAGTTTTGAGATGAGTTGGGTTTTTTTGGTTGTTTTTTTAAAAGCAAAAACTTACATCAAGAGCTCCCAAACAAGACACATCTGTGGACTTAGAACACCAAATGACATCCAGCCATGGCTTGGCTGCATCTCCTACATCTGGATAGTTAAGGCAGTGCATAAAAAATAAAAAAAAAAGGAAGGAAGAAAGAAAAACAGGAGGGAAATCACAATCACGCAACTGTCCTCTTGATAATAAAATTACAATTTTCACTTTCTCGGACGTAAAGTTTTTAAAGTCTGTTCCTAATAAAATACACACAGATTTGAATCCTATTTTACAATTTTCACTTTCTCAGACGTAACGTTTTTAAAGCCTGTTCCTAAAGCGTTAGAGTAGTCGAATTTGAATCCTGCCGGTTGGCTGAAATTCTGTTTTCACAACGATTCTGCCATCCAGTGTGACTCAGGATTAATGTGAAGCGCAGTGAGCTGAAGCGAGGATAGCCGCTCTGCCTTGGCAGGGTTGGGTTTTAGAGGAAGTGGGAGTCCGTCAAGTCAAAGTCAAATATGAGCACAACCCACAGCACGGACGGCTGGATCGCACGGCTGTGGGGCGTCTCCAACACTCATCTCAGTGAGTTCACTTAAAAATACGAAGAGCTTTCCTGTTTTAAAACTACCCAAGGGCTTAAAAGCTAGAATTATGAGCAGTACCGACTGGCATTTCCTTTCCTTTTTTTTTTTGGACTTTTCTGTTTCCCTCCTCGCCCCTCCGCCCTCTCTCCCCAATGATTACGGATTGGGTTTTGAGGTGCTCAGCGCTCAGGGGACCCGCGGGCCAGCCCACCGCCTGCTGCTGGCTGCCCGGAGCAGCGGCTGGAAAGGATCCCGCTTTGATGTGCCCGGCGGGCGGGCGGGCGGGCGGGGCAGAAATGGTGCTAATCCCATTTTCACTTCTTCCCCCCAACGTAACATTTGGCAAATACGAGGCCCAGAGAAATTAAGTGCCTCTCCACCATCCTCTCCCGAACTGCCAATTGGCTGCCATCGTGGGACAGGGTAGACCGGCGCCTGTGAGTTTGGGAGGCTGTAACTCATCGGGAATAGAAGGCCGGGTCCCTCTCCCGCGGGTCGCCCGCTGGTTTAGAACACGTTGGCTCCATTAACCAGGGTGGGACCACCGGGGAGCCCCCTCTGTAGGCACATCGCCCCACCCACTGGACTGCGCGTCTGCCTTGGGAGCTTTGTCAGAAATTTTGGGAAATCCAGCCAGGTTTGCACCGAGGCCTTCGGGGACCGGTGGTCGGACGCGCGG